GCCGTGGGGGGGGGGTCTCATCCCCCCCATTCCCAGTTGCCACCAGCACCGGGGAGCCCAGCGCCCCAGTTTCAGGGTGGGGGGATGCCGCTGGCGGGGAGCCCAGCCACAGCTGGCACCATGCGGGCGTGGGAACGGTGCCCGGGCTGGTGGTGCCAGCGGGACGCGGCGAGGGGGGACATATCCCCGTGTCCCCCCCATCCCACACCGGAACCCCCAGGCGGGGCTGGACCCCTGCATTCACCTCCAGCGTCAAGCATCCCCGGGGGGAAACCGAGGCACAGGGGTGAGGGGGGTTAATGGGTAACTGGCCCGGCCGCGGCGGCAGCGGCTCTGCCCGCAGGCAACGTCCCCGCGCCGGCAACAAGTGCCGGCTTGTCACAACCCATGTCCAGGCACGGGAGCCTGGCCAGGGGGCACAGGGGCACGCGGCCCCTGACGGGGGCTTTATGGGATGCAGTGACCCCAAAAACGGGGGGAGGGGGACAGAGACCCCAAAGAGGGGTGTGGAGACCCCCCAGAAGGGGTGCAGGGGACCCTGGGGTGTGCAGAGATCCCCCAAACCAGGGCGTGGGGACTCCAAAGAGGGGTGCAGGGACCCTGCAGGGGTGGAAACCCCCCGAAGAGGGGTGCTTGGACCCCAAACAGAGTGCAGGGACCCCAAAGAGGGGTGCTTGGATCCCAGAGAGGGGTGCAGGGACCCCAAAGAGGAGGGCAAAGGGACGCCAGAGGAGCAGAAGGACTTTGGGGAGTGCAGGGACCCTGAGGGGCTGCAAGGACCGCTGTGTCCCCCCGAGGACATGGCTGGGGATGTGCCGGTGCCTGTTGCTGCCCAGCGTGGGTAGAGCTCTGGGGACGTGCGGTGGCTCTGGGGACGTGGCGGTTCTGGGGACGTGGTGGCTCCAGGGACGCGTGGTGGCTCCAGGGACGCGTGGTGCCTCTGGGGACACGTGGTGCCTCTGGGGACCCCCAGCAGCTCAGCTGGGCTGGGCTGGGTCTGTGTCCCCGGTGCCACCGTCCCCTCCGCAGGGCCTTTCGCCGGGAGGGGACATGGCGCAGCCGGGACGGTGGCAGTGCCACCTGCATCCCCCGGCTTTGGCAAGCGCAGGGACACCGGGCTCCAAGGAGACCCCCCATGGTGCCACCGTGTACCCGGTGTCCCCGGCATCCCCGGCACGCTGCCCTGCCGCATCCGTGGCGGAAACCGCGGCAGGGCCAAACGCTGGCGTGGGCTGAAAGGCCTTTTCTGTGCCGCCGGCGGCCGGGGCTGGCAGGGGACAGGGACAGGGACGGGGACGGAAACGTGCCTGGCGCCGCCACCAGCCGTTTGTCCCCGTCACCTCCTCTTCATCCGCCTTCCTCTTCCTCCTGCCCAGCCAGGTCGCCTGGGTCCCCTCCACGGGACGGGGAGGGCACGGGGGGAGACGCCAGGGGACAGGGGTGGGTTCGTAGAGGGACAGACACACAGATGGACAGACAGGCGGGTGGGCGAGTACGTAAACGGATGGATGGATGCATGGACGGACAAGCGTATGGATGCGCCTCTACAGGGATGGATGGACGGACGGACAGGTGAGAGCTCCCGTGGATGGAAGGATGGACAGAGGGATGGCTGGACAGACGGACGCATACAGGGATGGACAGACAGGTGCACGGATCCGTGCATACATGGTCTCTACAGGGATGGATGGACGGACGGACAGGGGAGAGCTCCGGTGGATGGAAGGATGGACAGAGGGATGGCTGGACAGACGGACGCATACAGGGATGGACAGACAGGTGCACGGATCCGTGCATACATGGTTGGATGGACAGATGGGTGGATGGATGGATGATGGATGGATAAAGGGGTCGATGGATAGACAGACGGACGGCTGGCCGGGGAGGAGTGATGGACGGGCAGGTGGATCGAGTCTGGAGGGACGGACGGACAGCGGGTGGACGAGCAGAGGAATGGAAAGACGATGGATGCACGGGGAGACAGGAGGACAGACGGACATGTGGGTGGGTGGGTCGATCGATGGAAGAGGGACAGACGTCCGGATGGCTGGTTGAAGGCTGGATGGACGGATGGACGAAGGCTACAGGAGGGGTGGGAGCGACAGCAGCCCCCGTCACTGAGGTGCCACGAGTCCGTCAGGTCTCTGCGGCCGGGCCAGGGTCCCCTACGTGCCCCGTGTCCCCACGCTGCCTGGGGACAGTGTGGGGGGCTCAGTGTGAGCCCCTCCGACGTGAGATGAATCCTCCCGGCCTCAGCCCCTGCCTGCCACCTCGGTGGGAGGGAGCACGGCCGGTGGGAGCACTGAGGAGGGGTGGAAAGGGGGGGGGG